TGGAAGTGGATAGGACACACATTGAGGAAAGCACCGAACTGCGTCACAAGACAAGCCCTCACATGGAATCCTCAAGGCCAAAGGAAAAGAGGAAGACCAAAGAACACATTACGCCGAGAAATGCAAATAGACATGAGAAAAATGAACAAGAATTGGATGGAACTAGAAAAGAAGGCCCAGGACAGAGTGGGTTGGAGAATGCTTGTCAGCGGCCTATGCTCTATTGGGAGTAACAGACGTAAGTAATTAAGTAAGTAATATATCGACAGTAAAACGAAAACTTATCGATCTCTTGTGCTAGTGGGCCGTTTTCTAGTTTGGAAAGGAAAATGTCTGCCAATATGGGACCCAGGGGTGAACACATCGCGACACCATCTATTTGTCTGCAGATTTCACCATTGAATTTGAAATGTACATTCATAGTGCATTTTAGTAATAATTCTTTGATGATCTCCAGTTCCTGCTCTCTAAGTTGTTCACAAATATATTCTACAGTTTCTCTGAGTGGGACATTTGTGAACAGTGATGCTACATCAAATGACATCATCGTCTGATCTTTCGTGTTTATGTTTTTAATATTGTCAACGAACTGGAATACGTCCTTAATGCTAGGCGATTATGGAGTGATTTCAAAACGGTTACTAACCACTTTGCTACAGTATGATATGAGGAATCGTACATGTCCAAAATTGGCCTTAATGGGATATCCGGTTTATGTATCTTTGGCAGTCCGTATAACCTAGGTAAATGCATACCTATCGGTTTAATTGTTTCGTATACGTCTGTTGGAATCATCTGTTGATCTCTGAGCTTTTTTTAAAGATCTGGTCAGTTCATTCTCTATCTTATTATTGACATCGTTTTGGTTATTCAGTTTCTGAAATTTTTGAAGATCATTCAAGATGTTATTCATCTTATCAATGTAACCTTTTTTGTTAAATAAGACAGTTCCTGTTCCTTTATCGGGTTTTGTGATAATCAGATTCTCGTCACTAATAAGTTCATTGATAGCCTCCATTTGTTTCTTAGTTAAAATACTTCTGTAGTTATATCTACTATTCTTAAACTGATAGCAGCAGTCAACTAGGTTTGATTTGAAACGTTCAAGTTCTTGATTCGAGGTCGGCACTAGATCTGATGTCTGACTATTTAAGTTTTTAAATTGGATGTCCGTATCTATTTGATTTACGCGGTTTCGTGTATCACAGAATTTTAGACCAAGTGCTAATACTTCAAGTTTTTTTTTATTTAATTCAGTACCGGAAAATTTATGCACATACCTTTTTGGTTCAATTGGACATTTATTTTCAACCGATTGATTTTCAAGGCTTTTGAGAAGTTGGATATGTTTCTTGTTTGAACGTTCCTTAGTCATTTTTGTGACATACTCCATAAACTGGGACTTTAGGTCTTGTGTTAATTCGTCTACTGCAAATCTTCTGCGAGCAATGTTTACTTCTATCCCTGTCAAGTCATTATTCAATGTGTCAGTTTTATTAAGTGAATAGCGTTTTAATGTTTTTCTATTTAGATTATATATATATATATATATATATATATATATATATATATATATATATATATATATATATATATATATATATAAAACAACAATTCCTGATTCAGAATGGGTTTTGTGGAGAGTTTTAGAAATTTCACAGGTTGAAATCATGAGTCAATTGAAGCTAGACCATCATGGAAAACCTGGAAGCACTGAACAACCGTTTCGTCCTAGTATGGGACTCCTCAGCAGTACGCATCCACGACCCCGTACCCCACGAGATTCGAACCCAGGACCTACTGGCTTCTCGAGCGAGCACTTAACCATTAGACCACTGAGCCGGCCGGCATCCAACGGTGTTAATGTCTAACTTCAACCAATCAATGAAGTTGCGTAATCGAACGCCATTGTCTTCAGTGAGTTGATATCTCACAACAGACCTGGTTGAACTCTACTGGTAACGGCTTCTTAATAGAACTCTAGGAGTATTTTCCTGAAGTCAGTCACTAGTGAGCAGTTGATTATTATCACATATTACAATTTCCAAATGATGTGCTCTCTGCCTTAAATCTGGCCGATTTTATGGATTATTAATTTGGATTTATAATTGTAAAAGCTGATGAGAAATTCATTGAAAAGTGTATTCTTCGTTCATATAATTGTGTTTTTAATATAATGGGAATTTCTCGGAGATTAAAATCTTGTATTCAAAATCAGTTTGCTCTCCCCTCAAACCAACCCTGGTAATATTGACTGATTATCCAGAGTGATTATTTTTCAAATTGTTTTCACATTATCATTAATACACTGATTATTAGCCTTGTCTCCTCTTATCATTCATTTCTAGTCTAGTTGACCTTTTAGCTTTTATATATACATGTTCTTAACAAGTGTAGAATGTGTGATCAGATTGTTTGAAATGTATTACGCTAATCTATCATCATATAGTTCTGATCATCTTCATCTTCTCATTACATTATCGAAACTTCTTTAATCCTTTACTGATGATTTAATTCGATCAATCAATTAGTCATCTAAAATAAGACTGAGGTATTGGAGTTTCCAGCTGGATAATTCCAATCATAGTATAACTTTGATGAGTATGGACTAATAAGTTCTGTATGTGAAACGTTGAATGAAATAACATTTAACAAAAATATTCATTAGAATGAAAATGCACAAAGTAAATATTTTGTCAATAATTGAGTTCATGGGTTAGTTGAAGCTAGACCACCATGGAAAATCTGAGAAAACTGAACGGCTGTTTTGTCCCATTGTGGGACTCCTCAGAAGTGCTCAGTCGTGGTGGTGTACCTTCAACTGATTCATGACCTCAACTATTGAAATTACTATAATCGCCACAAAGCTCTTCTTATCCTAATTATTTTGTCTTGATCCATTCATTTCTTAACTACATTGACTTACCGTCGAAAGAGAGGATTGTGAAACGGATTTCTAAGTCTTGTAGCCAAGGGAATATCTTTTGACTTAAAATAATTGAAGTCAACCTCAATTTCAAATAGATTTTGTATCGCACAGTATTTGTAAATCAGGATTTCTTTAAAACCTCGAAAACGTATTTTATTCGAACATATAAATATTGAACAAAAGCGGCACCGAATAAATATGCCCCACACAAGTCACTTGATTTGAATGTGGTTGTGATACTGCTCGGGTGCCCAGGCCTAAGCAGAAGGTTTTCTTAAAAGGCCTGCGACTTAAAAGTCTGATTCGGAAGACAGTGGGGCAACGTGAGTAGATATCCTCACATGTTAGCCGGTGACTAACGATGAAATCATACACCTTCTGTTCCCTCAGAATTCTGGGACCTATATACATCATCAGTTTAGAATCAGGGTTTTCCGGCTCTCCAAGGTAAACATGGAGGGTCCACCGAGTCAGTTAATGTACAGAACATTCGCTTTCCGTTGTCCTGATTTCGCAAAAAACACCCTGGATACGAGAAGGCAATGAGTAGGATTTCTTTGGCAATTGATGTGTATGGGTGGACATGTAAGAGCATTCTAAGAGAGAGAACTGACTCTTCACACCTTCGGCTGTATCAGGGGATTTGGGTCCAAATTTTAATACTTTTCTGCAAACACAAATGTGTCACAAATATTTCTAGTCAGAAACTACTATAAATAGTTTATAAGTAGTGATGGATACTGGCTAGCAGTGGAATGGAGGACGCGCGTTCCTCCCTATTTGGGACTCGTCAGCTGGATGTACCTGCATCTCGGAGTTGATGTTCACTCTGGGACTCGAGCCCAGTATCATTCGCTTCAAACGCCATCACGTTATCCACTCAGCTACTGAGTCCTGATAGCCACGTGTTTGTGCAATGGGGTGAATTTAAATTCACTTGGTATTGTTTGGTTTGTATCTTCCCATTGAGGTTTTAAGACTGCAATTGATCAGTCTGTTATTGGCATATGTGCATACTGTGCTTACGACTCGATATTGCCTTAATTCACAAACTATTTGTAAGCAACGATGGATAGTGGCTATTAGTGGAATCCAGTTTGACGCACGTTTCGTCCTAGTTGGGACTCGTCAGCTGGATGTACCTAGGTTTGAGTAAATAAGATATTGTATTTGTACATTCTTAAATGTTTTCTTTTCTTTTTCAATAAAACACTTACTTTGCAAGTATTATTACATGTTGAAATAGAAAAAACCAGCTATGATTCATTGTTTCCAATGAAACATAGAAAACAATCAAACCAGAAAAACATGAGGCAGTTCGATTGAGAACAATTTGATGTAATGGTTAACGTTCTTTTTAGCGAATTAGTTTTCTACGGGATGAGTTCGTTAACCCCATGCCCAACCCTCCTCCTTTATCCGGATTTCGGACCGTCAGTAGACTCAGGAGGGACTCCAGGAGGAGTTAGTTAAAATATTGAATTAATCAATTATCCATTTTATAAAGAACAAAATTAATAATTCATGTTTTTATTTCTTACTCGTTACATGAACATGAATGATGCATTACATTTGTGATTATGTAATTGAATATCCGAAAGGTATATGCAATCACAACATTAACGCTAGTTTAGAACTCATGATTCTAAATAAAGCTTTTTTTCATTCAAAATTTCATATCACGAAATAACTTTGTATAGACAACAGTTGAAAATCAGTTAGTATAAGATAGATGTTTCGTCTTAACTTCATACTGCTCTTTTGTTCATATGCATAACACTACCAGGGGTCGAATCTTTAACACATAGACGTCTAGTGTTTCACTATTTTAGCATCAGTTCATTTAATAGTTTACACAATCATCATTCTTTCCTTGATTCATATCCGACATGGTCAAACTTTACTTGGACTCTACAAATCGATTCCTAAAGTTATCAACTAATAAACAGACCATAACTGTTATGAAAGTGTATCGTTATGTTTACAATGATAGTTACATAATGTTAGTAAACTATGAACAAGGGGGAACAATAATGTATTAATATCTTATGATGATTTATTTTTGTTCTAGATATTAAAAACAGTGAATGATTTGTAAAATACAAAAAAAAAACAAAAAAGAAAAAAGAACCAGTCAGAATAATTGCCATTTCTATCCATAATTATGAAACTTTTATTCAATGATTCTTTAACATCTTTGAATATTTCAATAAATGATAATGATTTCAATGATTCAATGAATAATCAACAATTGAATATTGAACATGTTCATAATGAAACTGTTTTAAATAGTACAACTCCTAGTGTCAACTATTCAACGACTGAATCAATGATCAATGATATTGAGATAGTGAATACAACAACAATAATGATGAATATAACAGATAATATAACCATCATGAATGATACTACTAATTATATTACAGTAGATTATCATAAAGAGGATTTAAGAACAATCACTACACATCCTACTATCGATGTAAATTCTAAGAAAATAACAGAAGTTAATAGGAATTCATGGACATCATTAACATCATTATCAACACCATATATATCACGTATAGAAGATAGTGAAACACACCAAGTTTATAGATCATTCTCAGCACCAGTTGATATAACTCATACAAAAACTGGACAAGCTACATTGAAACATCAACAACTATTAATAAAACATCCAGCTGAAAGAACTGAACATAAAGGATGTAAGTTTACATTTTTTTCTTGGCTTTTTTATAACTCTTTAATTATGTTTATATTTTGTTGTTATTACATCGATTGATCTTAGTTTAACAACCATAGAAATATTAAGAAGCATTAAGTACACCTTTTGAGACTTCCTATTCATTTACATTCGATACCCATTTTGTAGATTGTACTTAGAACTTATGCATTTCGTAATATATGTAATAGTTTTATGTTAGTCAGTTGTTCTTCGGTACTGTAGGTTGATACGGTTTTTGATTGAAATCATGAGTTAATTGAAGCTAGACCACTGTGGAAAACCTGGAAGCACTGGACAACCGTTTCGTCCTAATATGGGACTCCTCAGCAGTACGCATCCATGATTCAGCACCCCGCGAAATTCAAACCTCATGTCCTATCAGTTTCGCGCCAGGCGCTTCACCAACCAGACCACTGAGTTGGCATACAACGGTGTTAATATTTAACTTCAACCAATCCATGGAGTTGCTCTATGGTGCGTGCTACTTATATTGACATAAGTAGTATATAACACGAGTCAAGAAATGTAATGTCTAGCAGCAGAAGATGAGGGAAGATCGAGAAAAGAAGTGCGACAACACAATGGAATTTGTAAGAAAACGCATGAACAATGAAATATGAGACAATGGATTGATGATTACAACAGGAACAGTCCGGTTTCATATGATGTATTGATATTTTGCAAATGAACGATTTAATATATGGTTTTTCTATTTTACCGATTGAATTGTCTCTACTCGTGTTCTGGTCACTTCAGCGCCACTGTAAACCATTGTCATCAGTGAGTTGATATCTCACAACAGACCTGGTTGAACTCCACAGGTAACGGCTTCTCACTAGAACTCCAGAAGTATCTCTTGAAGTCAGTCACTATTGAGGAGATGATTATTATCAGGAGGGGTTTTGTGGAGATTCTATCATACAAGATTCATTTCCATAATATTATAAATTGCTTAGTAAACATCAACTCAATCATTCATTCATTCAATATTCAATAACCGTTCAATATTTTCTCTTTATCACTTTTTATTTATCACCAAAAAATTGTTTTTGCCCATTTTGTTTACATTTTTCTTTATTAAACTAAAAGAACAAACATTTTCTTTAACACATTTTTTTCTTTAGATAATTTGTTTACATTTCATGGCATTGTCTCTCATTCCCTCTCTCTCCCTCTCTCACTCACCCTCGCTCTTTCCTCCCTCTCACTCTCCTTTGATCTTTCTCTCTTTCCCTCTCCCTCTCTCCCCATTTATCTTTCCTTCTCTCCCTCCCCCTTTCTCTTTCTCTTTCTTTCGCTCTGACCCTGTCTCACCCATTTACTCTCTTTTGTTTTCTTGTACTAATATCAACGATTTATTTTTTTTTCTATGGTGTCTACCATGAGTTTATGCATGAAACATTGGGCTGAAATAAATTTCTCTTCAAATAAATAATAACAATAATTAAGCTCTTTAGTTGATGAGAGAGAAAAAAAATTTATTGATTTATTGATTATATATGACTACTTTTTTTTGGTTTTTGATGATAGTAGTGAGAAGTGAAAAGTTGAGATCCTATTTCAAGATTCATTCAATGACTACATACTTATGTATATATACTTCATTATGTTGATGTATGTAATTAGACTTAGTTTGTATGTCATAGCAATTAATGTAAGTGGCTAAATTTCATCAGTACTCATAATGCGGATCAATATTAGACCACCATTAAAAGCCTGAAAGAATCACACGATCGATTCGTCTGAGTATAGGACTCTTTTGTAGCTTGCATCCATGATTCTGCGATTAGGGATTTCAGTCTCGCACCTGAACTCCTAGTCTCTTAACCACTGAGTCTTCATACAAAGTTAATAATGTTGAACCTCAATCAATACGAGACATTGTGCAACCATCATTGAATGTCTCCGGTCGGTAACTACCTCATATGTCATATGGTTGAATTACAGTGGTCATAGCTGAGGAGTTCCACACTATGATGAAAAGCTGCCCACTGCTTCCAGATTTAAAGCTGATTAGCTCATGATTCAAATGTGATGTTTTATTTATCATGAAACTATATACAGTACAAACATCTTTCGAAAATAAAAATGAGTTCTGAAATTTCTTGCGTCTGTGGGCTTTCATCAAACTTAGACACATGATTGAGATACAGTAAATCAGTGTAGAACTTGTTGAAGTTTGAAAAGGTCAGTAATGTATTTGATTCTCACAATGAATATCAATACTAGGATATAGTTACATCCAGTTGACAGAGTCCAAATAAGACGAAACATTCATTCTGAACCTAACAGATATACACAATCCATTTAGTTTAACATTAAAATTTGTTTATAATGTCAATGAATATTATGTATGAATCTTATATTTCATTCATGAAACATGCTCTAGTACTGTAGTGAACAGAACATGGATGGGGACAATCGAATGTATTTAAGCACAAAATTACAGGACTTGTTAATGAAATCTAACAATCAAGTAGTATATGCTTAATTTGCAAAATGTCCACTAATTGTCTCAAAATGACTCAGACTTCATTGTTCTTGCATTTTCCATACAAATTGCATTCTGTTTCCATTCTTTATTGGCCGATCCTCTTGTCTATCTGCTGTCAGATCTTCTGTTCACGCCTAACATCATCTACTATTTATGGTAATATAAGCAGCATACACCACAGTACTAACGAACTGGAACTTCTGATATATATATATATATAATCGATTTTTAACAACATTTATCCATACCTTTATTGTTTTTCCATTGGTTTCTTTTCATTATATAATGTATCATTTATATTTTATCTAAATTCAAGTGTCCTATGGTGGTATCGTCAGTCTTTCTATACTGGGGGTCACTTTCGGTTTATTATTACTAATTTGGTTTTGTAAACGTTGTTTATTGAAAAAACGTCGATCAAAAAAAGATGGTAAAAAAATGTCATTAGCTGGTGGAAAATTAGCAGCGGATTTAAAAACAGCAGCTCATTTATCAGAAGCATTAAAAAGTCAAGTAGGTTTGACTCTTAATTTGTGTTTAACCATTTTCATGATTATTAAATGATATACTTGTAGGTTGCATTCTCCCCTGATCAGTGTTAGTTTACGATACCGTTGAGAAGTAGAATGTAACAGAAAGCCGTTTTGTTCTAGTAAGATATTCTTCAATAATAGACAATTACCACTCTTCCAGGAATAGTACCAAGAACCTTCAGTTCTAAATGCAGAGGTTGAACTATTAAAACTAATTGGTCAACAGTTGGTAGTATTATTTCAACTAGAATTACTTTGGATTATGGTTGTGGAGTCATTAGTACCATATGTTACTACTGTTTGAGACTGCATAAGTTTGACCCGGTAGCTGTCGGTTGTCACTTCTCAGTACATATAACACATCATAATCCGATAATGAAGACTGTTTCTTACTCTTAAAACTGTTTAGTCTGTTAATCGACTATAAATGAAAATTGATTTATTCATCTAGAAAGCCAAATAAATGTTCATAGGTAATTGTTGTGGATAAATAAAACTGTGATGAAACAAATGTGCATTGTATGAAGTGATGAAAGAACTGCAATCACCATGACAATCATAAAAGAGTTAACTTTCAAGTGTACGATGAATGTCCACTTTTATTGAAACTATGATTACTATCGGTAATCGGGTGATGTAATCATAACATCACTACTAGGTCTTTTTCTTGCAATACATTAGAATGAAACACTCCTCGAGCTCCCAATTTCGGGGAAATTTTGTGGAAGTCACTATAGTGAACTTCCCCAGGCCTGGAGAAATTCTCCAATATTTCCCCAGAATTTCCTCAAACACTGGTGAAGGTCATTTGACTTCGGGAATTTCCCCAAGATACCTAAAAACTCCCCGAAATTCCCCCAAACTTGGGAGCTCGGGGCGGTGTTTATTATGGAGTTTATGTGATTAATTTCTATGTATATTTCATTTAAATGTTTCATCTAATCTTCTTTTTAGTACGATAACATGATTGACGAATAAATCTTTTATAAAGATAATAAAAATTCGAGCAAGTTGACTGTGTGTTCGACCCGAACTCTCAAGTTTGGGGAAATTTTGAGGTGTTTTGGGGAAACTCTTGAAGTCAAGTGACCTTCACCAACGTTGGGGGAAACTTTGGGGTAATCTCCAAAGTCAAATGACCTTGACAAAGGTTAAAGAGGAATTTTGGGGAAATATTGGGGAATGTCCTCAAGTCTGGGGAAATTTTGGGGTTTTTGTACCATTTCCCCAAAGTTCACTATAGCGGCTTCCCCAAAATGAGTCGAGTTTTCCCCAAAAGTCAGACTTGGCAAAAATCATAATTCATCATCCTGAAGTAACTCACTGCTATGACGGACAAACATAAATACATGAATTCTTACCTATATATTCCTGCCTGACCTCCCAATTTCGGGGAAAATTTGACTCATTTTAAGGAAATTTCGAGAAAGCCGCTATAGTAAACTTTGAGGAAATTTAGTGGAAATGGCACTAAAACCCAAAAATTTCCCCAGACCTGGGGAAATTCCCCAATATCTCGCCAAAACTCCTCTTTAACCTTGGTCAAGCTCATTTGACATTGGGGATTCCCTTAAACTTTCCCCAAACTTGAGAGCTCGAGTGGTTAAATTTGACTGTTTGTACATGCCTTACAATTCGTTTTAGATCACACCTGAATAAATTGGGTATTTGTTCAGACAATTCAACTGATTGAAAGAACTGAATGTCTGTAATTTACTTGGTGAAATAATCCATTGAAAGGATTTTAAATACCAAATAATAACTGACTGATTGTATGAACACGATGGTATGTGAAGAATTTGAATTGGTCACTTTAGACGAAAAAAAGGAAATGAAGGTCAAAAAATTGTTAATGATTTGTGTACTTTATGTGAATACTGTTGAAATGTCTATTAAAATGGTTGGTGTTCAGATTCATGATAGATATTTATTCAAAGTTACATGATAAACTGATAATGAATATAGAAATATAGAAAAGATGGATCGTGGTCTGCAATAGAATACACGATGCGCGTCTCATCCTATTTGGGACTCGTCATCTGGATGTGCATGCATCTCAGAATTCATGCTCACAACGGGACTCGAATCCAGTATCGTTCGTTTCAAACGCCATCGCGTTATCCACTTAGCTACTGAGTGCTGATAGCAACCGGTTTGTGCATTGGGGTTAAGTGTAAATTCTATTGGTGTTACTTGCTTGTGTCTTCCCATTGATGTTTAGGTCTGCAGTTGATCAATCTGTTGTTCCGCTGCAGGTATATCCAAATGACGAGTTACAAGTAAGACGGATTAACAGAACTATGAAAGTTGTCAATAACAGTGATTCACAGTCATTGGTCGCTAATCTGAACTATATCTACAATTGTAGACTTCCTTGATATGATTCAATGAATAGAAAATTTAAGTAGCCGGGCATAAAACGGACTGTTTTGATACACTTGCCAGTATTCTTTATCTTGCAACTACTCTTTATATTCTTGTTAAAGTGAAGTGTATATTGAAATGCCTTTTATTTCACAATCAGGATAAGGTTGCATTGAAAACCGACATGGAAATGAATGAACAAGAACAAGTGGGTGATCATGAAAAGGAGAAACAATATTTTGGAAAATTACAATTTTCATTAGATTATGATTTTCAAAAAGCTGAGGTATGAGTAAAACTTTATGTTTATATAATTTCGATTGAGTGTATGTACATAAATATCCATAGTGTGAGCAATGAACATAGAAACTATGACATTCTTATGCAAATTGAGCAAAAACTCTTAAGAATTTCATAAAAGTGATGATTTGGAAGACTCTCTCGGTCTCCCACATTGTACGAGTATTCCCTGTACCTAAATAAATGGTTGCTGTGGTTGTCAGAAGAGGCATCGGTCTCGTGACTTCCGAAGGAACTCGGATTTCATCATGAGGCATCATAAATCTTCTAAATGAAGACCTTTTAACTCCCACGGCAGAGCTTAAAAGGTTTGAATAATTTTTTCTAGTTAGCGTTCTTTTAGCGAGTTATTTTTCTACTGGATAGGGTCGCTAACCTCATGCCCAACTTTCCCCTTTTATCCGGGCTTGAGACCGGCAGTAGCCCTCGGAGGGACTCCAGACGGAGTCATGAAAAGTATGTAAAAAACCATTATACACTCTCAGCTAAATTATACCAGCTTATGGACAGACAAGTCATTTAAATGTTTTAGATTATTATTTACATCTCCATATATTTGCCTTCTTTTTTTCACCTTTAATTTTGAATGTTTACATACTCATTGTTTACTCTATGCATTGTCTACCGTTAGCTCGTTTACTGATTATAAATCTTCAACCAGTCTTAGTTAAAATGAGTTAGCTGTGATGCCGTTCTTTTTCCTATGTTTGTTGTCGTCTGACTTCATAAACATACATTTAAGTTATGCTATCCCAAAACACGTGGATCAATTGAAGTTAGATATTGACACCGTTAAATGTCAGCTCACGGATCTAAAGGTTGAGCGTTAGCACACGAAACCGAAGCTCCTGGATCAGAATCCCACGTTTGGCATCGTTGGTGAGCACTGCTGAGGAGTCGCGTGCAAAGACAAAACGGTCTTCCAGTTCTTTCAGGTTGAAAAAGGTGACCTTGTCTAGGCCGACTCACGAATTCAATCATTAAGGTTACTTTCGTATTCGAATTCGTATTTCCTGTTGACACTAACAAGAACACTCAATAGAATATTTATGAAGTAAATGCGACCTATTTCAGTATTACTGTCTACTGGAGTAAACAAAAAAGCCAACAGTGACTTAAGACAGTGCAATTCGAAGAATGTTAATAGACCTTTTTAATTACCAAAAAATGGTGGGTGACCAGAATGATCATCTAATTTTGTTGACAAATATGTGGAATTTATTTGTCGAAGCAAAATTACATGAATAGGCTGTTGAACATTTGGTCTACCTGCTTCTGTCCTTTATATGTCTCAATAAGTTGTTCGTTTCCGCTTGTTTTAACAAATCATTGTTTATTAATCGCACAACCTCTTAAGGTGTGTTTATGAAAAGTCTTCCGCTGTACGAGTTACAAAAATGCATAATCACAGACATCGTGATTGGTGACAATAGGTAGTGGAAACAGTGTACATAATTCAGATGTCAGTTCCTGGATTACCAGATTCTAGCTGACGACCACTCACCAAAAGAGAAATGACGTACAGTAGTGAAGGCTAGTGAATCAACTTGATTTAATCAAGCGTGAATCAATATTTAAAGTCAGATAGATATAAGTTATAGACATGTAATGAATAGAATAAGAAGTGCATAAATATATGCTCATTTAAAAACAGTCAAGTTTGATAAGCGAATAATTCACAAGGTCAAAAAATGTGATTCGAGAAGAATGGATAAATTTTCCTGTCCAGAAGCGAGAATAAGTTGTGTGGGCTTAACATGGTGATTGACACAAAGAGGTTATGGAAAACTTCAGACGATTTAATTAAAATATTTAAATGAACATGCCACTGTTTTACTGAATACTCACTTACTAAATAAACATAAACATAAGAAGCGCTGAATAAAATACACTTATTGAACATGAAAAACATTTCAAACAATCTTAAACTGTTCAGCCCTTAAATGCCCTGGTACGTCCGAGAGTGAGGAGAGTCCGTACTTCCTCTCAAAATGCTCTCACACGGCCACGCGTATATAGCCTCTGACAGGGAAGTCCTACTCACTACCTTCTCGTGGCATTACTGTTGTTTACGAAATTAAGAGGAAGAGAGGCGAATGTCTGGCGCTTTAACCGGGTTGGTGGACATGGAGAGTCCACCTAGGTGAGTTGGAAAACCCTGATTCCAAACCAATGGTGCACATGAGCTCCAGGATCCTGAAGGAACAAACGGCGTGTGAACCTATCGTCGGTCACCGACTACCATGGGAATGCATCTCCTTACGTTGCTCCACTGCCTTGTGGATCAAACCTTAAGGTCGAAGCCCCAGGGTGTAGCCCCATGGTTGAATTACTACAATTTCTACAACCTCTCATTCCGACAATAACTGTCATGTTGTGCTCGCTAGTGATTGGAGTTCTAGTGAGTAGGCACGATCAGTGTAGTCAAACCGTGTCTGTTATGAGGCATTTAATCATTGAAGACAATAGTGGACGGTCGCACAATATCGTGGAATGGTTGAAGTTAGATATTAACACTGTTAGATACAAGATCAATGGCTTATAGACTAAGCGTTAGCGTACAAGACCCAAAGTCCTGGATTGGAACCCCATGCGCATGACCGTCGATGTGCATTGCTGAGGAGTTCCATACTAGGAACAAATGGTCGTCTAGCTTTATTCGACTCATGAATTCAACTATTAAATTCAAATTAATAATTTACCATTAATGACTATAATTCAATGTTTTTTTTACATTATTCAGTTAACAGTTGGTGTAATTCAAGCTAATGATTTACCAGCTATGGATATGTGTGGTACATCTGATCCTTATGTAAAAGTTACTTTATTACCGGATAAAAAGAAAAAATATGAAACAAAAGTACATCGGAAAATTTTAAATCCTATATTTAATGAAACATTTATTTTCAAGGTAAGTAAGATCAACTATTTTATTTTAATTGAATACAGATTGAGTAGGACTTCCCTGACAGAGGCTATATACGCGTGGCCATGCGAGAGCATTTGGAGGGAGAGCGGACACTCTCCACTCTCGGTCGTACCAGGGCATTTGGGGACGCTAGCCCATGTACTTCAGTCTTGCAATTTATATATATAAATGAGTCATAAATATCAAATTTTTCGGGTTGTCAAGCCACTTATATTAGAATACGGGAAGTACTTTTCATCCTATTTAAGACTCATTAGCTGGACACAATTGAATACTAATGCTGATGAATACAGTAAGACTTCCATCATCGAATGTCAAACTACGTGTTTACTTAGACACTCACAATTGATTGATCACTGGATGGTGATCAATGTCATGTGTGTCAATTCCTTATTCAGTGCAGATCGAATGCTATCGACCATGTTGCAATGTGACCACCAGTCTAGGTGGTTACGTCTCTGACTGTGAAACTGGGTGACATGGGGTCGAATCCGTCAGGGAGCACCAGTTCCCTCAAGATTACAGGTACGTCTTGCTGACGAGCGCCAAGTAACACGAAACCCGTGTCCAGGGTTTCCTGTCGACTACCTCCAACAACCATCTAATCTCAACATATAATGCATGCAGTGTCGAGTCACCGAGACTGGTGGCCACATTGCTATATGGTCGATAGTATTCGATCTGCACTTAGCTACCGAGTTTAGACTTGTTCAAACTTGTATTATGAAGTCAAAAGCTTAGAACGTTCAGATGGTAAAAGAGAATGATCAGTTGCTGGGTTTGACTACAACAACAGAGTGATATAATTGCTTTCAAACATTGTTGCATCGAGTTGTATAAACGAACCAAAGACTTAAATGCGTCAAAGATTTAATGTATTCATTATCCTCAGATGTGATAACCTTAGAAATATTTATTATTTACACATTATCAAATATGTGGGGGAGAATGCTTTATTCAAAAAGGAGAGTGAAAATTCAAGTATGCAGAAAGGTTGATCATGCTGACCAAATATCAAGTTACAACAGCAATAAATCAAACGGTTCATAAGATGAGGTTTGTGAAAGATGTGTTACACGTCAACCAAAACTCATTGCATCGTTTTCAATATACAAAAGGTTAAGGTGACTCATCTCGTATCCATCACGTGTAAGAATGTCTACTGGAACAAAATCATACAATGGATTTTAGCGAATAGGCGAACCATCATACAATTAACAGGCTGAAACAAGATCTTTCTTCATCATATGAGATACGTGACAGAATTCACTTTGGAATCACCATTACTGAAAAAACCAAAAATTTGTACCAGTTTTTGAAAAGCGAAAGACTTAATAGCGAATAAATACAAAACAACTCATGTAATCCTCAAGAAGTACTACAATGTTCAAGATGGATACTTCATTGATATACAGATACACAGACATTGGTTATCAATGGATATAAACAATATACTGTCAATTATATTAATCAATGTTGACAACTACGAACAGAACTGTGGTTCGAATAAGTTCTAAGAATTTTATATAGTTTCATAAAACATAGCACGTAAATCAACTCGCAATCATGAATCCCATGAATATAGATCGAGATTACCAATCCACTAGGTAAATATCAAGCACTCACATAGTCAGTGTTCATCAAAACAGTTGACTAGTATATAAAGATGCATAAAGATTATAATAATTGAAAAGATAACTAGTTGGAAATAAGCCTATCAAAATGAATTGACGAGATGTATGTTGAATGAAAGGTTAGCCCATTCAACTTTAAGTGAGATAGAACGCCGAAGGAAACCTCGATATTACAACATCAAGGACAAGTAAGATTTGTCGTTAAAACCAATCACCTTAATTTTATGGTGCTTAAATTCGTCAGCAATGTGAATGTTCCATTTTTAAACAAGTGATACTATCCTCATATATTCGAACTCATATCATCTAGTGTGGTAGTGAGGGAAATCACCTCATAAATATGGTTGTACTACTGACAATTGCTTATCAGTATATGTGTTGTATTCTGACATTTTATTCGCTTATGATATACACTTTCTGTGGTATACCAATATGGGAAAACTGGAATGAGTAAAAGTGTTTAGCTACCAAATTGAGTTCTAATGTACAAAAATTGTGACCCGAACTAGTCAATAGGCGCATGATCAACTTCATTTAGTTTATCCCAATCACAATAATTTCTCAGTTAGCATTGTTCAGATGATTTTGCATACATTCAAGCTTGACGACATGAACTAAAACTAATATTTTGTCATTTGATTTCTTCGTAGATTCCCTATGCTGAAATCAGTTCAAAAACGATTTCGTTTACTGTTTATGATTTCGACCGATTTTCCAAACATGATCAGATTGGACAAATCAAAGTACCATTGAGTACTGTAGATTTATGCAATGTGATTGAAGAATGGCGTGACTTAAGTCCTCCAGAAGGGGAAGGTGAGAAGGTGAGTTAGAATGATGACACTGGTTTTTTGAAGAAGAAAATCAACTGAGACGCTTCAGAGTAAATGTTTGGCATTACTCTGATCCTACGTGTACTTGTTCTAAGTAGTTACTTCATGGAGAGAAAACTCCATACATGTAAATTTCAGATCGTTTAGGTATTATTTTAGATCTGTTCACCTAAATTTGTGTTGGAATAACAAATCGTGATGGTCTGACTCACTGATACAGGCTAACTAGCTTGAAACCTATGTTTAAGTTTTATTTTTGTCTAACTTAAACCATCTAACATCAGAACATGGCACACATGTTAGAATGTAGGTCATTTCAGAATTTGATCTATGATCTGGTCCCTTGGCTCAACGTGGTTCCGTCCTATGTCTGCAGCGTTTTCTGGTCCGCACTGCTACGAACGCAATCCTCAGATCCTGGATACGAACCACTCTGGTGTGGTACGCTAACTCGAGCAGCAAATACACCACGTTTCTCTTGGTACCGTTCTACGTAAAAGACCTTCGGTGACAACTCGAGGATGAACGATCGCTTCCTGTTTGCCAAGACTTTCGTCTTACAATCGCACGTTTGTTGATCAGTCCCACGAACGAAACCGCTACTTATCGAAAGTGTAAACCCATTCTAGCGGGGGGCTCATGTAGTGACCTACTTTTATCAAGAGAACGCGATTGGTTAAATGAGAACAATTATTATCATAACCAATTGCACCAGTGTTTGTTTTACTGTACTTGTTTGATAACTGTACCAAAGACACCTACTATTCTTCCATTCTTCCTTTCGTTGATTGTGACCTTGCACGCACCTACGTTTGCTCAGTGTTTCCGCTTGTACTCCTTTGGCACGATCTCGGTATTCTTTCGATACCACGGGATCGCTAACAAATATATCTCGTTACAACCTCCAATAGCCTTCTGATATCTGGTACGCAACCTTGTATTGGTGATTATAGTCAACCACAATTCGACACCACGCTACAGGTATACATTAACAGATCAGTTTGATATTCATCGTCGCTCTGTGATGATTTAAGGATTAATACTTATCAATAGATTTATCCGAATGTTACAAATTTCTCTCTATTTTATTTAAATTGAACAAATTGATTGATTGATTCACACCGAAAAATTGCTTCGTAATAAACTTTGTCAATTTATGATCAAACATCAATCATTAAACGGATAACTTTGTATAACTTTGTGTGATAAGGAAGCATCTCGATAATTAAAACATAAAAGTTATTTCCAGTCAAATAATCGGAAATTGTTATGTGATCACACCATATTAAGAATTCACTTTATCAGTCTCGCGCCAGCTACTTAAACAACTAGACCATTGAGCCGGCAACAACGGTCTTAATGTCTAACTTCAACTAATCCTCGAAATTGAGCGACACATCCATCGTTGTCATCAGTGAGTTACTACCTCACAACTGACCCGGTTGAACTCCACTGGTCACTGCTTCTCACTAGAACTCCAGGATATATCTTTTGAAGCCGGACTCTTGAGGCGAGACTGATAGGTCCTGGGTTCGAATCCTGCAAGGCGGGGTCGTGGATGCGCACTGGTGAGGAGTCCCGCAATAGGACAAAACGGTCGTCCAGTACCTTCAGTTTTTCCATGGTGGTCTAGCTTCAATTGACTCATGATCTCAACTGTTGAAATTCACTTTATAATTGCCTTCTTCACATAAAGTTAGCCTTTATATATCAAGAACATTTTTCAATATCCTTCTAGTGTCGAAAAATGAATAGTAATGATTATGCATCATGTCAAATGGATCTTGTTACACATATTTACCGTTAGATTCCTTACATCCTTATGGAATTACAGTTCAAGGAATTTTCCTACTAGAACTGAAACATCGACTAATTACTTCTTATATTTCTAGTAATCGTCTAACGTATTGTGTTAAATGTCTAGTCTCAATTTATTTTTGTATTTCTTACTTCAAAAAGGAAAATCGTCTAGGTGATATTTGCTTCTCATTGCGTTATGTTCCAACATCTGGTCGATTAAATGTGAATATATTAGAAGCTAAAAATTTGAAAAAAATGGATGTCGGTGGACTTTCAGGTAGTTTACTGAGTGAATTAGTTGTTATAAGTAGTATGTATGAATGTTTTCCAATTACATGATATATAATTCTTATAGTCTATGTAATCACAAGTAATCATTATCATAGAATTGGAATACGGATTTCATCATTGATGTACAATTTATTATGAGAATTGCGGTTTGTGGATATTACAGTAATTTTTTAATATGGGACTCCTCAACAGTGCGCATCCACGACCCCGCACCCCACGAGATTCGAACCCAGGACCTGCTGGCTTCGCGCACGAGCACTTAACCACTAGACCACTGAGCCGGTCAGCATCCAACGGTGTCAATGTCTAACTTTAACCAATCAACGAAGTTGCGCCACCGTACACAATTGTCTTCAGTGAGTTGATATCTCATAACAGACCTGGTTGAACTCCACAGGTAACGGATTCTCATTAGAATTCCAGAAGTATCTCTTGAAGTCAGTCACTAGTGAGCAGATGATTGTTATCAGAAAGGGTTTTGTGGAGATTTTAGATATCTCACTGATTGAAATCATTAGTCAATTGAAGCTAGACCTCTATGGAAAACCTGGAAGCATTGGACGGCCGTTGCGTTTTAGTACAGGACTCCTCAGCTGTACTCATCCACGATCCCGCACCCCACGAGATTCGAACCCAGGACCTAACAGTTTCGCACCAGGAGCTTAACCAACTAGACCACTGAACCGGCATTCAATGGTGTTAGTGTCTAATTCATATCATTTGAGGCTGTTGAAAGATATCTACTATTAGTGTAAAACATTTCATGAAATGTAAACAATTCCAATCGGTGTTCTTGAAAAACTTCATGAATAAACCAATAAATTGACCAAAAATGGATTTTATAAATGTTATATATGATATATCTGAAGTAGAAACCTTATTAATTAAAGAAAAAAACCTAGAAAACATAAATGACATTTTACTTTCAAGGTTAGTTTTGATGTAGAAAACATGATCCACTTAAACCATTTTAGTTTTATGTAAGTTTCCAGAAGTCTTAGTATTTCTTTATTCATTGTGTAACATATCATCCATTGTTTTTTTTTGAACTTTGTGGAAAATTACTGTTGAAGGTTAATTGATCGAGATGTCTTCGATTTTCCTTCCATCTAGAAGGCTTAGAACTATGGTTAGAGACCCTGAATAACATGGCTCAAAATTGTTTGCATTGGCGCAGGTGCATCCACTCTTTGTGTTCTCCCAAATTCTAATCTCCTGAATCCTCTTCTTTATTTCTCTTTCCGAATTTATGTCACTGGATTATACTCTTTACATAACATCTTCCAACGCTAATTTTTCCGATTACTATTTATACTCTTACCGCCTCTACCACTACAGGATTCGAATCGACAACTGCATGTCTGTTCTCATGTTGTGTGGCAACTCGAACTGATGTATGTACGTATGAGGTTCTACGTTGTTACAGACTGATTGACAACTATCGTTTTAAAACCAAAAATAGTTGCGAATATCAGTATTATCTTAACGAGTCTATTGAAATCTTATATGTTGTCTACAAACACAATTTCTATCACTCAGTGATGACTTGAAGCTTCTAATAATATGTACTTGAAATGTCAGACTACACAGTAATACAGTCAAGGAATTACAATATACGTACAATTCAGTCAAACGTGATGAAAACCAGAGTAATTGGAAAATAGTTAATGAATGATCAATCTAGGATAATAATACTTATGACAACAATTTATGAATCAAACTAAAGATTAGAAATAGGAGAATATAAGAGTATGGCGAGACTCTAATTTGTCAACGACCTTTGAAAGAATCATAAGCGACCTTGAGAAATATTAGCCAATTAGCAAACAGCCAGTATTATTATACAAAGCCAAATGGATGAAAGGCTTTTGCGTTAAAGTCCGAGATCTATTATGTTACACCTGATTGATTCATTAACAAATTATAGTCACGCCGTTTTATTCGTTATAGACGTTCAATTATCACGTGTTGTACAAAATTCCCTGTGAAACGATCGTATGTTGGCATTAAGTACTGAAGTTGGCACCGTAACCTTGAAATCTTTCGAACGCCTCTGAATGACTTGTCCATAAATTAGAGTCTCGCTATTTGTTCTTTTATATTCTTTCCTGTAATTAAATTTGAAATGAAGAGACAATCAGAAGTAGACAAAAGTCAATTGATGACAATAGGTAATGACCTAAAGGTGAAATGCACTTTATTGAGGTCATTTGGTCAATTTCCTAAGGCTAGACTAGTATATATACATATATATGAATGCGTATTTGTGTATTTCATTCAGTAGCTCATTATACTTTTTTCCCTCATGTAATCAGTTTTGGAGGTTGTCTTATAGCATATTATGCATCAGTATCTGAATTCGAACACTGTACGTCGCATGAAAATTATGTTTTAAAGAAACCTGTTTTATTATGTATCCATCTTGTATGTTTCGTTTCAAGGTTCTAGCATCAATGATTGTCTAGATTTAATAATTTTTTGATTGAGATGATGAACTGATTGATGTTAGACCACCAATGAAAACCTGGAAGAACTGGACGGCCGTTTCGTCCCATTGTGGGACTCCTCATCAGTGCGCATCAACCAACCAGCTCGCGAGGTCGTGGATAATGTTGTTTGACTTTATTTTAAACATTTATTTAATGAGAATGGTTCTTAAGGTTTGAACTCCTTCTAAACGATTCATCTATCAATATACACTATCCAGACGACATAGTTCTGTTTATCGAAGATATTGAGCAATGATACAAAGATGTTTGTAAACTGTTTCTTATTGTGACAATCATTGAAGTTTCTTTATGAATTTTCTTATTGCTTTTCTTCACTTCTCTTGTTTTTAGATCCCTATGTGAAACTTTCATTAATGTTTAATGGTAAACGTATTAAAAAAAAGAAAACAACAATTAAGAAATACACATTAAATCCTTATTACAATGAATCATTTGCATTCGATGTACCATTTGATCAAATACAAGTAAGTTAATGATTTGTATACATCTAGTTGTAGTTTAATTTAATACTTGAATTCATGTACTAGACTATTGTGGACAATCTAGAACCATTGGATGGCCGTTTCAACCAAGTACAGAACTTCTCAGTTTAACTCTCTATTTTGACGAATCAGCTGATCAAGTTATTAGATTTTTTCGATCAGGGTGGTTAAGATATGTATACCTAACCACTGTTTACCACGATACGTGGGTTTGATTAACTAATGATAAGCTAGAAAAAAGTTGAGACAACAAAAATAAGACTCCTTTGTATGAATCTTGTTAATTTTATCTTGCATTTCCGATGTAGCATGTCAACATGGGCCAATCTACAGTTTTACTAGGTTTCATTCCGATTTTAAAATCACATAATCTGTTTAGGCATTTTATAAAGATTTTCCTTATAATTTACTCGATTCATCAAACTGCTAGTTTAGTTCTCTTTATGCATTGGTACTACAGTCCTCGGAGAGTGACCCCTCCCCAAGGAAACCACCTAGCTCGGTTAAGGCCCCTGAGCAGTATTCTAGCTCTCACAAAAATCGAATGATTTGTGTGGCGAATACATATTTGGTTCCTTCTTGTCCCAAAGGTTACGTGTTTAACTAATAATGTACTAGTAATTGGTGATGACTCAATGGCGTATCCCAATAGGATTTCTTGTGTATAATCTCACCAAACCGTTTAACCTTTATATGATATATATAACCATAGCTACATGATATACTTATCGAATGACTAAGCTTTAATACGTTTTAAAATGTATTTATATTACATTCAATGTTTAATTTTCAATTTTACAGAAAGTCAATTTAATTGTCACTGTTGTTGACTATGATCGTATTGGAACCTCTGAACCAATAGGTCGAATTGTATTAGGTTGTAATGCAACAGGTGCAGCACTTCGTCATTGGTCAGATATGTTAGCTAATCCAAGACGTCCTATAGCACAATGGCATACATTACAAGATATGCCAGAAAAGAATTGAATCTATTCTTTTTTCTTTAAAATAAATCAAAGAAACCTTTTCAATATTCAATTATGTTATATCACACCGTATAGCCTTTATGTAATTTGAATGTTTACTGAACATATTTTGCTCATATTAAATGAGATTGAAAATTCATTATCAAAGCAAACTGTGGATATCCGTATAAAATTTGCTTGTAAACTATATACTATAGTCGTTTATTTATTGTCACCAACTCTATGCTTGAATCATTTATAATCAGCATAACAAAAAACTGTGTTATGGATGTTGATTTAAACAATGAATGTCGAAATTGATCACACATTTTAATGAAGATTTGTACTCTGAGCTTATTAGTTTGGTCATGAAGTCTTCATCACTTTTCTGAATAACATCATCAACACAAACTTCACATTGAAGTAAAGTGCTCGAATAATGATGAAAACCTCACGATCAAACTATTCAACCTTAAACTACAAGTCTTCTCCACTATCTTAATCACCATCTAAACAAATACATGCTGATGAATATCATTCATTCAATGATTATTGATGATTTAATAAATATTCAAAACTTATTATTTAGCTTTTCTTGCATTTATTTTCATGATTTTTTTCACAAAAATATTGATTAAGAAACGAAGTGTTGTAGAACCCGCCAATTTTTTTTTCAGAATTTGATTGATTTAAACAATCATTTCATATTTTATCTCTATATTTATATACAGCTTGATTTGAATTGAGTTTTGTTTAATTCTTCTTTTCATGTATTTATATTTGCATTGTAAAGCTTGTTCTCATTAATTAAAATATTTGTGAATAATTTTATCAAGAAATCAGTAATCGTTTCATTGATAAATTGGTAAAGATTAGTAGATAGATGTGGAGATCACTAGACATTGTAGTTCAATAATGATGGATTTTGAAAGAATCGGACCAACTGACAAGAATTTCTTCAAACACTCAAACCCAGGATCTTCGCTATCGCGAGCGGTCTCACAACCCCTAAACCACTTAGTCAGCATCCAATAGTGTCAGTGCCAAAGTACAATGAATTCACAATATTTCATAACTCTTCGTCCATTGTTTGAGGTATATAAATGTCTCATACCTGACACGAATTAGACTCCACTTACATGAAGTTATGAACTCAATGGTGAATATAATACAATCCTCGCAATTCTTTATACTGATAAAAACTTGTTTTGTAAAATCACTAATCAAAGCACAAGTGAAAAACGATTTAACAAACATTATGTATTGGATGATCATTTGAGATATTTCGATACAATACAACAAACGACGGAAGCCAAGTTATTCAAGTCTCATAATGATTAAGAAGATTTGATTAAATTCGGTAAATAGATCAGCGGACTTTACGTGGTTGTGATTGAAACTTGCAAATCACGAGACCTTAAATTGAGGAAATCATTATTACCATAGTGATGAAAGTATTTCAGCACATTCAGATATCGATCCACTGACCAGATATAACAACCAATATTACAGGTAGCCATCCATGTACTGAAATGAGGTTCATCTAATTACGAGGTATTTTAGCTCGCAGAACTCAACAAACTTCCGTTTGTTAAATGAAACTGTCCTTATCGGTTACTTAGTTAAATGTTAATATCAAGCAGACATTCTGGATTGTTAGTTGAACAATAACGATTAAAATACAATTTAAATAAAGTCAGAGAAGAAAGAATACTGAAATCTAAGTGATGCACATATGGATGTATAGTGTTCGGTGTTTGTAGGAATTATTGAGTTTCATAAGTTGTACCATGAACTGACCTCAGTTAGACAATTATTAAAAGCAGGAGGCTCTGCATGGCTGTTTTGTTCTAATATGAAACTGTGTGTAATGGACAACCTTTTACTTTAGAAGAGATGAAGTCTAGGAACTTCATATCTCACAACAGGCACTTAACCACTAACTCAATCGGGATAAAACGTTGTACGTTTTTATTTTTGAAAACTGACCATGTCATTGGTGTAACTGTTTCACTTGAAATTGTTGGACAACTCATCAGAACTCTGCTGGTTGTCATGAATCCAATTACTAGTGGATACGTGATGAAATCACAATATTACAAATAGATAAAGATAGGATCAACAAAAGTTCACTTCAATGCTGACTGGTATCATACTTATCGAGATAATAAGAGCTAGTTTATTCAATTATGCATTAAATTGATAAATCAGTCTGCCTAAAACTAACCGAATAAAAATGACATATCTTCCCTGTGTTTCCATCATTTACAAGTAATTCAACTACTTCTGTCAGCTCATAACAATTATTCTCTTTTCCCATTCACTTCAATTCTATCTTTCCAACCTTCTGCTGTCACGCATTCCACTTCTCGTAGGTGTTAAATACAATATATGTCTGTCAGCATAAGTAGCATACATCGGATTGGGGTTTTTAAATAATATTTTATTGAAACTGGAGGCTCCATTACTATCACACTACCACTGTGAAATCTAGCAAATGGAAGATTTGAGTAGACCTCAAGCAATAGATAATGGGCGAAAATGAAGTTGTAGAAAGGTTAATAAATACAAATAGCAAGCCGATTCATGTGGCAGTGATTCTCCATTAATTATAATAATTTTGAAATATAATATTTATGCCCAGGCGCAGCCTAGAGAAACATGAAATATCAGTTACTATTGGGGAAGTTAAGTCAAACAATAGTGTTTAGAAGACCTTGGAACAATTTCTATGCATCAAATTAGTAACTCAAGATGTTAGAAAATAAAATTATTAAGAATTGTGACCACCTTAATGAACACCTTAGCAGTTAGCTATTTGATTTTAACTAGCATGAATCTTTAGGTTGCAGTGAAGAAATTCAGAAATCATAATACCTATTACTTGGTCTTCTTGTTAACCAGTATTCGGTGTTTAAGTGACCAAATATATGTAGGCTCTATTTGGCTCTTAATAAAACTAGTAGTGAAATCCAAGAATTCTTCGCTCTATTTTCGGAACCTGTCGGCTGGATGCTCTCTCATGACAATGTTGATGTTAATATTGAAAATCAGATCTAATATATATCACTTGAAAAACCATCAAATTTACTGAGTCCGAAAAGCTAATAGCATACTCACTTTGTATAAAATTATGCGTACTTGTTTGTTTGCTAATTCTATGAATTGAGGACGGATAGCTATCTCTGGTGAACTTACGTTCTCTGAGCTGAATGGTCCACCTCAGAAGCTTTCATCGTTTGTCTAAGCAAATTCATCAGGACAAACTTCAAGTGGGAATCACATATTCGAATTTCTCCACGGTGACTGACGGCTTGTCCTCTCCACCTTTGTCGTGATTAATAAGTGATAATCTTTAACCCGTCGATGCCCAGATACATATTTTACTTATCCCTCTCTCTGAATTAATTGTTGATGCTTCTATTTGTCTATGGTTTTTCTCACCAGTTGGAAATTGGATCGATTTACATGTGTTTGTGGATTGTTAGTTGATTTGAGGACCAAGCTACTAAAAATTCTCTGATGTTCTTAGTATTCGCCTTATTCACATTTTTAACATATCCATAGTCAAATGTGAGTCCTGAATTGTCCGACTGCACTGAACCAAGTGAAGATAGACAAGGGGATTTGAGAACTAGTCAACCTTGATGCAGACGAAGATGAGGAGAGCGTCCAATCTGACCGATGTACTATTCCTCTAGTATGGGACCGTTTATTTTATATATGGTTTTTGGTTTTTCTTCACTCGTCAGTTTATTATTTGGTTTGCATACAAACGATCTGAGTAATTTAGCTGATTTATGTGCTACACCAAGTTTAAACCTCCTTAATAATCTTGGTAGTGTTATTGGGAGGAAAAATGAAAGCTTCATACTTAAAACATCCATCTCAGAGATGAAAATTCGAATTGAACTCACCTACTTCAGCTACAATTCCGTATCACCTCTTGATTAGCCTCTATGAGTTAATCTTCATCGTATTATAATAAGGGGATTGGGTATCTCCCTGTTGAAGAACCGTTAGCTTAACACAGTTAATTAATAATACTGACAGATACAGCTTTATGTCTCCGAATGTCAGACTAATATTTATTAAGCTATTGAGTTTGGACTCGTCAAAATTGCAATATGAAGGAAAAAGCCCAGAAACCACAGATGTTAGTAGAGGCTGATCAATTGCAGTATTTAACAACTACAACAGCAAGAGAATGATACAAACTCTTACAAACGTTGTTGTATTCTGTTGTGACAATGAACCAAAGATTTGAACGCGTCATATTTTTCGGGCATTAATTATCCTCAAGTGAAATGAAATTCAAGATAATTATTAGTTAAACAACGAAATCCCTGACAGTATCAAATATACAGGACAAGAATGCTTTATTCAGGAAGTAGAGTGAGTTTTCAATTATACTCAAAGATTGACGACGCTGACCAAATATCAAGCCACAACTTCAGTAGATCGAATGCTTCTTAATGTGAGGTATGTGATAAACGCGTTACACCGAAACCAAAACTAATTTCACCATTCCCAATGAACAAAAGTTTAAAGCAACTCATCTCATATCCACCCTGTGTAAGAATGTCTACTGGCACAAATTCATTAGGTTTTCGGTGAATAAGCGAACCGTCATAAAATCAAATGGCCTAAACCAGATCTTTCTTCCTTATATGAAATATGTCCCAGAATTTAACGTCGCAATTTTATAACACTCTAAATTCAGCATTATTCAAAACCGAAACTTTATACCAGTGTTCACTAGCTGAAAGATTCAACAAAGTGTGGACACAGAACGATTTATATAACCTTTAAGAAGTGCCACAATGGTCAAGGTAAACACTTTCTTGATATTTATAAAAAGAAACATTGGTTGGCGGTGAATACTTGCAATATACTGTCAATTATACCAGTCGTTGATTCGGATAAATTCAAGACCCATAGAATATCACTATAGTTCCAGATTATTAATCCAGCAGATGAATGTCAAATAGTCGGACGTCAAAAAAGACAGTTAACGGGTATAATAGGACAGATAGATATAACAAAACTTGAGAAGATAACAGGTTGGAAATAAGGTTATCAAAATGGCTTGAAGGGATGTCTTTTGAGTGGTAGGATAGCGCATCCAACTTTATATCAAATAGAACGCCGAAGCAATACTCGAAATTACAACATACTGATATGTTTACCACGTTGTTAAGGCCGATCACTTTAAATTAATTTTCGTAGTGAATAACTGCACCAGCAATGTGAATGTTTCATCTCTAAACAAATGATACTATACTCGTATATTCCGACTCATATCATTTTTTGTGTACCCTCACGCAGCTGCTGCATTGACGTGGTGGTCGGTTTGCGTATCTCAACGACCCAATCGAGCTATATTGGCTGAAACGCGTGTTCTCTCAGGTCGTACCATGTCAGGCAGGTCGACTGAAGAACAGTAGGACCAAAGACAGCAACTTGGGGTTTTAGGACAAAGTTGCAATGCTGACTGTTGAGAAGTGTAACAACATCTGTAGCAATCTCGCCTCATAAAGCAGGAAGGGTGAGGAATGGTCGACCCCAAAAACGTCACACCTCACCTTGACCTATGATTTCCATCTCCAGCAGTGAGACCTTTTAATGAGTGTAGCTAACATGTTAAAAACCTCCCATAAAAAGACTGTGCGCGTCCGACCTCAAAGAGGTGTCACTTGAGCTCTGCGGTCACGCTCCCGCGTCGTTAAGATCAACATCAACCAAAGTTTTAGTGCCCCGTGGATCTGACTCCAAGATAGTACGAATGTTTGTTATCGCCTATTCTCGTATATAATCGTCGACTTAAATCACG